ATAATAATAATAATTACTAATATACTAATACTATTACTATAATAATAATATACTACTAATAATATACCTAATATAATTATAACTAATAATAAATAAATAAATAAATAAATAAATAAATATATAAATAAATAATATATAAATATATTAATAAATATAATGAATAATAGTTCATATATAAGGAGAGAAAAGAAGAAAAAGAAAGATAATAAATAACATAAAAGAAAGACATAAATAAATAAATAAATAAATAAATATATTATTATTTATTTATATTTATTTATATTTATTTATTTATATTTATTTATTTTATTTAATTAAATATATATAATATTATCTATTCATGCATGCATGCACTTTCTTCCTCTCGCTGTCAACAGAGCATTCCTTCTTCTGCTGCAGCAGCAGCAGCAGCAGCGGCAGTCGCTGCTGCTGTTGTTGTTGTTGCAGTAGTAGCTTCTGCTGCATCTGCTGCAGCAGCAGCAATTTATGCTGCTGCTGCAGCCATTTCTTCTACCGCTGTTTCTGCTGCAGCTGCTGTGTATCTGCTGCAGTTGCTGTATCTGTTGCTGCTGCTGTTACTGCAGCAGCAGCAGCAGCTGCTGCTGCTACCGCTGTTGCTGCTGCTGCTGCAGGAGGCGTAACCCTCCATTGTTTATGGCTTAAGACTGCCAGCCATAGCAGCAGATATCTTTGCTGCTGCTGCCTTTGCTGCTTCTGCTGCTGCTATGACGCTTGCTGGCAATCGTGGTTGGTGCGGCTGCTGCTGCTGCTGCTGCTGCTGACTTAAGACGGATGCCTCGACCTGTGCTGCTGCTGCTGCTGCTTGCTGTCTAGCAGCTTCTGCTGCTGCATCACCTTTTCTGCGTGCAGCGAGTGCTGCAGCAGCAAGTGCTGCTGCAGCAGCAGCAGCTGCAGCAGCAGCAGGTGACATAGACGGTCGTCCTCCTTGACCAGCAGCAGCACCACCACCAGCAGCAGCAGCACCTGGTGCTCCTGCTGCTGTCTGTGCATCCTGCTGCTGCAGACGAGCAACAACACCAGTTGTGCTGCTGCTGCTGCTGCTGCTGCTGCTGCTGCTGCTGCCTTGTGTTGGTGGAGGACCAGGTGGTGGTGGTGGTGGTACACTATTCGTACCTGCTGCACCCCAACCAGTGCTGCTGCTGCTGCTGCTGCTGCTGCCGCTGCTAATTGCTGCTGCTGCATCTCTTGCCATAGCAATCTGCTGCTGCAGGTTGCCCTGTACATCATGAGGCACAGAGGGAGGGGGGGGCCTCGGGGGCCTCAATATCTGGGGGCCCCCCATGTGCGACGGGGACCCTAGTGCAGCACGCATAGCTCCTTGCTGCTGCTGCTGATGCTGCTGCATAGGAGACAGCTGCTGCATATGTAGATGGTGCTGCTGCGGTGGCTGCGGTGGCTGCGGTGGTTGCGGTGGCTGCGGAGGCAGAGGGTGCTGAGGGTGTGGGGGATGAGGAGGAGGAGGCAGCTGCAGCAGCTGCTGCTGTTGCTGCTGCTGCTGCTGTTGCTGCTGCTGCATTCCTAGAGGTAATACAGTAACACCTCCTAATGGAGGTGGCGGATGTTTAGCTGCTCCATCTTGTCCATCATGCTGCTGCTGCTGCTGCTGCTGCTGCTGCTGCTGCTGCTGCTGCTGCTCGCTTCCAGGAGGGTGAGCCATAGGGGGTACTGCCCCTCCCCCCATATAATAAGGATGATGGGGGGGCCCCTCCATATTATTCATGGGGGCCCCCGGGAATGCACCAGGGTAATGGGGGCCCCCCATGAAGAATCCTCCTGCAGGTTGGAGCATACCTCCTCCACTCTGCATTATCATGGGGGCCCCAGGGTGACCCATGGGGGGCCCCATTGGCGCCCCCATAGGGGCCCCCATGGGGGCCCCCATACCTCCATGTGGCATTCCTCCTACTGGATAGAATTGATGGGTACCACCCATCATAAAACCTACAGGGGCAGAGCCCCACATATTAGTACCCCCTTGAGGGGGCCCCCCTACCCATGGTGTCCCTCCTGCTGCTGCTGCAGCAACAGGAGACGCACCTGCTGCCATGGCACCACCTTGCTGCTGCTGCAGTTGCATCTTCTTCTGCTGTGCTGCAGCATATGCTGCTGCTGCAGCTTCAATACTATCGGGAGGAGGAGGAGCTTCCTCTGCTGCGGAGCTGCTATCTGCAGCAGCAGCAGCAGCAGGAGCAGGAGCAGCTGCAGCAGGTTGATCCCCTGCAGCAGCAGCAGCACCATCTGTTTGTCCGGTAGTAGTGGTGCTGCTGCTGCTGCTGCTGCTATTTGCTTGCGATTGATCCCCATCTTTGGCTGCTGCTTCGGTTGCTTCTGCTGCAGCAGCAGCAGCATTTCCTGCTGCTGCATCTTGCTGCTCGCTGCTGTCAGCAGCAGCAGCAGCAGCAGCATTTCCATCAGTAGGCGGTTGAGGAGGTGGAGGCTTTGATCCAGTAGGTGAGGAAGGAGCAGCAGCATCTGCTGCTGCACCAGAAGGTGCTGCTGCTGCTGCTCCTGCTGCTGCAGCAGCAGCAGTTGGCGTATGAGTAGAATCCGCAAGTGCTGCAGCAGGAGGAGTAAGAATAAGAGGCTCGGATGCAGGTGCAGCACCAGCTGCTGCTGCTGCTGCTGCTGCAGGATTATTAAGCGGTAAGGGTGAGGGTCTCGTAGGCCCAGCAAGTATAAGAGGAGGGGGCCCCCTAGGGGCCCCCACGAAGGGAGCGACGGGGAAGAAAGGTGATGGGTATCCAAGAACCGGCGGTCCAGCTGCTGCTCCTGGTGCACCTGCTGCTGCTGCAGCAGCAGCAGCAGCAGCAGGATTAGGTCCTGGTGGTGGCAATAAAACCCTTGGCCTTGCAAGTGCTGCTGCTGCTGGTGGCGGTGGTGCAAGAAGGGGCCCCCCCGGTATAAGTGGTGCAGCAGCAACAGCAGCAGCAGGATTAGGTGGTACTCCTGGTGCTGGAACAACAGCAGCTGGATTCCCTGCAGCAGCAGCAGCTCCTGCTGCTGCTGCTGGTTGAACACCTGCTGCCGCCGCTGCAGCAGCTGCAGCCCCCGCTGCACCGACAGCTCCCGCCGCAACAGCAGCAGCAACAGCAGCAGGACCAACAGCAGCAGCAGCAGCAGGATGTGTCCTATGATCATCATGATGACAAAAAGTACAAGATAAATTATCCTTAGGGCATGCATTTAATAAGAATAAGGAACAAGGTCTGCATACACCCCGTGCATGCAGCACATAAGAAAAGTGTCTCTCCTTATTATTCTTATCTGCATGCGAAGGATGATGACAATAGAGACAGGTGTCTCCTGGGCAACCAGGCTCATTACTATGTGTAGGGGCACAAGGGAGACACATTCCTTGGTTATGTAATATAGTTAAGAAATATGTGCTGCTGTTGCTGCTGTTGCTGTGGCTATCGCTATGACAGCAGCAGCAGAACTCTCTTGCTGCACAACCTAACGAAGAAGAATAATAAGATAAACAAGGACGGCATCTTCCTTCTTTATGCTCTATTAATACTTTCTCTCTTATTGCTGCTGCCTCTTTCTTCATTGCTTCTTGCTGCATACATATATATACATATATACATATATACATATATACATATATAAATATATACATATGCACATATATACATATATACATATATATTATTTATTTATTTATTTATTCATCTATTTATTTTATTTATTTGCTCTATTTATTTTATTTATTTATTTAATTACATATACGTACATATACATATATATGTATATACATATATTAACATATACAGATATATACATGTATATATATGTATATATATACATATATATACATGTATATATACATGTATATACATATATATACATATATACACATATATGTACATATATATATATATACATAGATATACATATATAAGATATAAATATACATAATATAAACATATATAAACATAAATAAATATACAACATATATATAAAATAAATAAATAAATAAAATAAATAAATAAAATAAATAAATAAAATAAATAAATAAATAAATAAATAAATAAATAAATAAATACTTACAATTTCTGGTGTAAGATGAGAAGAATGATGACAAAGGAGACAATTAGATTCAAGGAGACACCTCTTTCCTGCTGTTAGGTTACGGCATGCAGTACACAGTCCCCTTTCGTGCTTTTTTTGCATCCATTTATGTGCTTCCCCTAGATGAGGATTTAGGAATACTATTTCCTAATAAAAAAAAAAAAAAGGAGACACTTTTATTCATATATTTATTAGGGGGGATATAGGAAAAGGAGACAGGAAGAGACACAGCAAAAAAAAAAAAGGAGACACTTTTATGCTTTTTTTCTATATATATTTATGAATACTATTTACTAACAAAAAAAAAAAAGAAAAGGAGACACTTTTATTCATGTATATATATAAAAAGGAGACAAGGAAAAGGAGACACTCTTATTCACGTATATATATAAAAAGGAGACAAGGAAAAGGAGACACTTTTATTCATGTATTATTTATACAAGGAGACAAGGAAAAGGAGACACTTTTATTCATGTATATATAAAAGGGGACAGACAGGGAAAAAGGAGACAGTGGATAAAGAGAGACAAAAATAAATAAATAAATAAATAAATAAATAAAATAAATAAATAAATAAATAAATAGTCTCCTGTTGCTTACTCCTTCTTCTCCTACAAGACCAAGCCTAGGTTTATCAGCAATAAGAGGAGGATTATTTTTTTTTGCCCCTTCTCCTTCTCCTGTCTCCTCTGATGGCAGTAAATCTAATGGCTGCAGCATCAGCAGCAGCAGCAGCAGCAGCAGCACACACAAACACCAACAGCAGCAACAACCATAATTAACAACAGCAGCAGGAGCAGCAGGAGCAGCAGGAGCAGACAAGTCCCTGTGTCTCCTCTGCCTATAAATATTCCTATAAGTAAATATATTACCCCCCCCCTTATAACCCATTAATAGATTGATCTATATCTCCCCTATAAATAAATAAATAAATAAATAAATAAATAAATAAATAAATAAATAAATAAATAATATAAACTTACAGGATTATTATGTATATATTTAGGCATAAATGGTCTATGATCCTCATGATGACATTGTAGACATAAATAATTTTCTTTTTTCTCTGATTTACAAATTCCATCAATTGAGAAATATTGACGACAAGGGACACACCAACCTTTACGGTGTCTCTCTAGTGCATATTTTATTTGTTCCTCATGTAATGACATATTCTTCTTTCCTCCCTATATATATACACATATATATATATAATATATAT